CCTTCCTGTATGATTAAAATAATCATTAAAAAAGATAAAATAATTTAAAGATAAAGTTACATTATTGAAGAGCAGTCAAACCTTGGTCAACACATAGAGAATTCACTATGGGATTTTAGTACTACAAGACAACGCCTGCAAAATATATATTAAAGTTTTTAATGTTTCAAGTCATATATTTTTTATTTACTGAAGAAATATATAAATTTAAAGAAAAAGTTTAATTATCTGTGTATTTTTTCTGGAATGCACATGGACCAAATAATCGACTTTTCAACAACATTTGAAGTGATTTGAAATGTAATTCCTTTTTCAGCTAACATTGTAAGTATTTGTCCTAAACTAAGAGATAGAGTACATACTCACTCACATGTTAAACAAGATAAGTAAATAGGAATGCAATTGAATTCCTTCAAAACATGGAAGGAATGGTGAATTCCATGAATGATGGAAATGGAATTCGAAAGATTTCAACTGAAATTCAATCTTTACCTCCAATTGAGCCTTGTTATACTATAATGGAATGATGAATTGTTGAGCAAACTTTCCTTTTTCATAACTTTGAATTTCTTTTTGCATCTTCTTCATCTCTATAGCTTGTGCCTCGAGAGCTATTTTTTGTAACTTCACTTGCTTAAATATAAGATGTATTATTTATCAATATTTTAATCTACATAGCACATTATTAAATATAATTTTGTATTTTTTAAGATAACTAAAAGTTTAAAGCACATACCTCCTTTTTGTTGTTTCATTTCATTCATCAAATGAGCTTTTTCTTCGTTAGTAACTCCTTTCTTTCCTGCCAGCACACTAGTTTTTACCAGTCAAATTTCTCATCATCTTCTTCTTCTGTAGATTGAATAGAGACCTGACTACCGCTTCAAACAATTAATAAATTAGAAACTTTACAGACTAAAAAATTATTGTTTATAAACACATAAAAAAAAGAACAAGATAATAAATTTCAAGAAGAAAGTAGCAGAGATAGTTCATTTTCTAACATATATTTGAAACAAGAGCTCTCTCTATATATATATATATATATATATATATATATATATATATATATATATATATATATATATATATATATATATATATATATATACACACGACTTATGTTAGTATTTAATTAGTATTTGCTGATAGCTTAAAGCAAAATGACAATCTAACACCACCTTGAGCTAATCGCCAATTAACAATTGGTAAATGAGACAAAAAGTAGTCATCTCCATGAACAAAATCATTCCCAACTCCTTTGTATGCCCAACTACATGTTGCTTTTATTCCTTCACTTGCATATCTGTTGAAAGTAATCAAATTTATAAAAAAAATGTTCATTTGTAATTGTTTTTTGCATCTATGTATTATATACGGTTTCACATACAAGTTGGGACCAGTATTCTGATTTCTGATGCACTTCTCCCCTGTTGGAACTTGATATGCCCATTCTTTCTGCGAAACAAAATATATAAAAATACTAATTAAAATCCCAAAAAAAAAACTTTCTAATTCTTAAACAAGTCATGTAAAGTAAATATGTAAAATACCATTATGTTGGTCTAAATAGCTTTGACTAGATTTTCAACATCAGAATTATAGAATATTTCTTCTGCAGTCTCAGTTATGCTGTCATCCCAAACCTGTATAACGTATTGTATGTATTTTTAATCATTAGTTTAACAAGAAATCTTAATTTAGATTACATATGAACATTGATCATGTTCCCATCTCTATCAGAAGTGAATCCTACATGTAGTGACAGTAACAGGGGCAATTTAGTCTTTTAACTTGTTAGATAATAAAGTGAAATTGGTTACTATCACATACATGAGGAATATCTCCCATGAAATAAGAAAGAAAGAGCAGTGCTTTTATGAGATTATCTGCATATATTTCATAATGTTTTTCATCTTCAAAGTTGATAAAATCTAGAAACAAAGAATTAGATGACTAAATTTTGTAAATTTAATTACACTGAGATGTTTGTTTGCCAAAGTCGAGTACATGAGTGGTGTAGTTGTTAATTTCTTCGATGACACATCTTCCGGCCACTCCATGTATTGTTGTCGTTTTGAAATTGAGCCCCTTGTCAAATGCCTACACCCGGTACCAATCAATATCATACAATTTCATCTGCGAGAGCTTTAAATTATAATAGCAAAAACAAAATGTATGTAAGCACCAAGAAAACCCTAGGAAAACCAAAATTAACGAGTTGAGGAAGGCAGAGCTTAGAAAAACGAGTTCTGATTTGATCTAAAATGAAAGAGAAGAAAGAGAGCTACATGAATATGGAACTTACAGACAACAAGAAACCAAAATACGAAGGTTTACGATAACTGATGAATGACGACTCAACGAGGAAAGCAAATGGACCGAGAGGAAAGAAAGCGAGGATGTGATTTATAAGGTTTTCTTGTAATTTTCAAGTATACTTCAAAGAGGGACGCACAGGTAGACGGTAGTGGAGGTGATTTTCCGGGCGGAGGAGGAATTTAAGTCGACAGAGGTCGATTAGGGCTTTTGGAGAAAATTGTTTAGAGTTTAGGAATGAAAATAAAAGCATGGAAAGAAAAGAAAACGAGGGAAAGAAAAGTGGGGAATGAAAAAAAAGGGAGGCGTCCATTTTCTGTGATCGATGATTGGCGTGGGATTAAAAAAAAAAAAGGGTGTGTGATTTTTAATAGTCCGTCGTTGTTCCATCACTAAATTTTTTTAATTTGCGACCGATTGGGGAAGTGCCCATTTTTGTCGATAAATTCTTGCAGTTCAGTCGTTAATCCCTCAATAATACATCTATAAAAGTCTATAAGTATGTTGGTCGAAATATTTATGTGTGCCGTCGTTGATCCCTCTGTAAGCCGTCACTAATTAGCTACATACAAAATCCGTAGCTGATTCCGTCGCTAAAGGTCATGTTTCTAGTAGTGTTTTCTCTTAAAATGTTATTTATCTAGAATTTTCTTTACTTGATTAAATGTGCAAAGTGATGTGAATATGTATGTTTGCGACCACTGACTGTCTAAAGAAATGCCTTTTTGTGTTGATGTGGCTGTAATTCTTATTGTTAGTTTCTTACACATATAATTTGAGTAACTTGAACGTGTCTTGTTCAGATATAAGTCACAAAGCTCATCATGTTGTCATCCCTCAAATCTTTTACATGGAATCCAACAACCATATTACTTTGACGCCTATTTATTTCTAAAATCAATTAGATTTTGATTCTCTATAAAAAAAACCATCAGTAGATTGTAGTCATTGTAATTTCATTATGTTAAAAGAGAACCGTAATAGCATAATGAGCATTGCTAAAAAGATCTTTCACTAGTTTTGGGAGTTATAAGTTATTGGGATGATATTAAATACATTTGAAAGTTCAATTACAATGGTATATATTGTGGGGCTTTCTTATGAGCAAAGTATTTTATCCAAACTAAAATAGTATGATGACACTTATCCATTTTGCTAATTATTATATTGTTGAGAAATGACTATTCCTCTTCTTTTTTTAATAACATAAGTAAAAGGTTACTGAAGTCAGGAAAGCATAAACAAATATATTTGAGACTAGTTATTACGTAAGTAGGATTCACTCAAGTCCTTATACTATTGTTCCAAGCTTGGCATTAAGTGTTTATCTCTTAACAATTGTGCCATTACTAAATCGAAGGTTCGGTTTCAAACAAAATCAGTTTGCATATCCCTTAACAATCGCCATACATATCCCTATACAAACGATAAGTTGTCCCTATAGGTTCTGCACAGATTTACAACTTTTAGCCATGACCCTGTGATTTGTTTAATTTCCCATATTTTTGTATAGACTAAATTTTTTGTATACAATAAAACAAAAACAGTAAATTAAAATCTAAAACATTTTACATATCTACAATCCAAAGATTTAAAATATCTTACACCATCAGTTTACCAAATACAAACAACATAATTTGAAATCTTTTAGATGTCTCATACAAAACAAACTAGAGTTCATAATCGAAACAATATCTAATGAAATGTTTTGCGGGTTTCCATATTCTTCCTTGAACAAAACTAGTAGGTTTCTTAGTTGGTTTAAGGCAAGATGAGGGTACTTGTACCTGTCAAACATAAGCACATTGTCACAAATCAGAAATGCTAGCTATAAAAAATATATATTATTAAATACAAAACACGGAAAATAGCCACCCATGGTATCTGCCCTGATAATATGTTTCTAGATAAATCGAAAGTCAAAAGTTTTTCATCTCACCAATATTTTTGGGAATCTCTCCAAATAGAATGTTCTTTGACAAGTTCAGGGAAATCAAGTCATAAAGATTGGAAATTTCATATGGGATTTCTCCTGTTAAATTATTGCTTGATAGGTCAATGCTCTTCACCAATTTTAGAGTGCTAAATAATTCACGTTCATCTTCTTGCCACTCAATCATTGCATGGTCAATATATGCCCCCCATCCATACACCATGCCTCTTATCTTTCTATGAAGCTCTACATCTTAGGAGAATCCTTGTTGAACCATGCTCTTAAGATTATTCAAACATGAGTGGATGGTTCCATGGAGATTATTCATTGACAAGTCCAAAATGTGAAGATTTGGTAATTGACATGACTGTAACGGGATGGTTCCAGATAAGTTGTTTGATCTTAGAATAAGAACATACAACACTGATAAACTTTCCCCAATCCATACAGGCACATTACCAAAAAACTTTTTGGCTCCCAAATTCAATGACTTTAAGTTCGTGTAGTTTTTTAAAGACAAAGGCAATTCTCCAGAAAAGTTGTTCTTGTATAAATACAAAATCTTGAGTTCTATCAAAGATCCAATAGAGGGAGGAAGCCTTCCAAATAGATTGTTGTGTCTGAGATTGAGAAACTATAGTTCTTTGAAATGTCACAAGCAGTCGGGGAGTTGTCCACTTAATGAGTTATGAGAGAGGTCAAGAAATGTTAAGAACCCATCTACAATTTGGCATATAAAGGAGATCCCTCAAGAGAATTTGTTTCTGGAAGGATTTAATATAAACAAGGTGGAAGGAACATTCAGTATTGGACCATTAAAGCTATTGGAACTCAAATATATTATGATAGATTCATCGGCAAAATATGATGATAAATCTGATACTTTCCCGCTAATATTGTTGGAAGAAAGATTCAAATATGTTAAAGGAGAAGCCCACATGTCCCAAAACTTCAGAGGAATTGTGTTTGAAATTCCAGTATTGGAAAGATCAAGAACGACGAGATTTTTGAGTGTTTGGATCCATTTTGGGAAGTGAGGAACTATCTTACAGGACAACAGATCAATAGCTTTTACATAAGAAAGGCTTGACAAGTGATATGTAGAAGGAACTGTAAGATTATTAAAAGAAACATCAAGCAATTCAAGCCCCGATAGTTCCCACAGTTTCTCACTTATACTTCCATTTAAGTGATTATAAGATAAGTACAAAGATTCTAGGGATGAAAACTTTCAGATCTCATCGGACAATGACCCTGTAAACTGGCTATTAGAAGCATCCAACTCTTTTAATGCAAGTGATGTGCATCCAGACAAGTTATCAAGAAAATCAAGAAATTTGACAACAACAGAGTTTTCATCGAAATACAAAGTTTCCAGACTACAGAGGCTACCAAGATACTTGGGTATCCCATCTAACATGTTGCCAGAGAAGTGATAAAAATGGAAAAGACAAGGATTCATAATGTCAGTAAAAATCTTGATGAATTTAAATTGTATTGATGCCTGTATAAACTGATCCCTAGAAGGTTTATATAGTCAGATGAATGATTCTAAGTGTGTGACCTCAAATTGGTGGCCTACTTGAGTTGAGCAAACAGTAAGGCAGATTAATGATGAAGAATTGGAATCAACTGCCCCCACTAAGCCTTTCAAATATTTGTAGATTTACTAGTTTGTTTTGCCAGTCAAATACCTAATATACCCATTGTGTATTATCTGAAGAGGTCCCTGTTTGGGGTTACAAGAAGCAAGAATGGTAGTTGAAGATAAGAACCTAAGCTTGTTAGAAAACAACTGATTCTAAATTTGTCATCCAATATGTTTATTAGAGTATTCTGATGTACTCATTCTATTTAGTTGATTAGGAAAACTATTGAAATGGGAAAATTGATGTACTAAAAGAAAAAACATTTAGGCCTGCCATCCAATCTGCATAATGCATATAATAGTTCTTTTAAACAAGCTACCACATCCATAATCATCTAGCATATATGCATCTATGTGTGTTTGTATGTATATGGCTTTATGCATTGCCAAACTATATTTTTACAGTTCTCTTTTAAGAGAAAGTTGATGTAATGAAAGGACCTGCCTATTAGTTTTGAATCATTTTCACACTGTTACAAAAAGCCTATCATTTGTTCAATACAAAATGGGAATGGAAGTGCAATTGCTATAGGAAAGCATGATATAATTAATGCCTTAATGTGAAGAACCCACCAGGAATTTGTGTGTGTTAATACCCCACCAGATAATGGCGTGTGTATGTGTCTCACGTGTTGTAATCTCCAATATTTTTGTGAAAAAAAAAATATTATGATTTTTCTTTCTTTTCTGTATCCGTCAAAGTCTCTTAAGTTGATTACTTTATATACAGTTTTTTAAAGGGAAAATGAGTTGCTAAGGTAATTAACTTTTCGGTATGTTTACATTTAGGTAACTATTTTTTTGTACACATTAAGGTAACAAACTTATTGGAAGCGTTCACATATGACTATTATGACCGGCTATAGCAGGTCACATCCTAGATGTGAACACTTTCAACAAGTTCGTTACCTAGATGTGTACAAAAAAATTAGTTACTCAAATGTGAACAAAACGAAAAAGATTTGAGGACCTTTGTAGTGATGGACCAATAACCCTTCTAATTTTCAAAAATAAAGAGATTAGGGTTACTAGGTTTTAATTATCCAAGTTTTAAGGCATTTAAAATTATAATTAAGGAAACTAGAAACCATAAAAGAAACCCTAGCAATTTCGAAAATAGGGGTAGAGGCAAAGGTCGCAAGAACCCTAAGTCTTTTGCGAAAATTTAAGGTCATTAAGGTTTAATTTCCATAAACCCTAATTTTGAACAGTTCACTATTATACACAATCAGTTGGAAAACCAAGGTTCTGATACCACTGTTGAGTTTGCTAGGTTAAAAAAAAACCATGTGGAAAAAAAACATTTAAACCTTTAAGTTCACATGCACCAAGAAAGGATCTAGGTTTTCTCTATTGATAGAAATAACCTATGAACATCAAGAAAATCATAGAGAGAGATTATGAAAATCGAAATTAACATAAAGATTAGGGTTAGATACCTTTTGATTATTATTGAAAATAATCAAATCAAATCCTCTTGAAGTTCCTTAGAAAACAAGCACCAAAAGCTTGGATGCGTCTAATGGCTCACACCCAAACCTTAGAACTAGAAGACCATTGAGGAGGAAAGAGGGGAGGAAAAATTTGTTCCTATGGATTTATGGGTAGTGCATAAATGAAATTAAGGTCATAAGGGGTCATATTTATAGTCTAGGTAACTTACGGACCAATCAAGTTTTGAATAGATTTTAATCAAAATCCAAATCATTTCCTTATATGCATCGAAGAGGCTTCTAGAAGCCCTAAGGAGGCTCCTAAAACCATCCACCCCTTGGATGGTTCTAGAATCGCTTCTTTTATTCAACTATTGAACAATTACAATTCACCTCTTACACCTCTAATAAATTCCAGTTAATCGTAAATTAATTCCAGATTAATTCTGATTAATAATTAATCAATTCTAATTGATTTCATATCAATTTATTAACCACATAAATTAACAAAACAATTATCTTAACAATTGATCTCATAATAATTTATTAATCACATAATAAACTAATAAACCTACTGTCTATTTCCAATTAATATATTAATCATATAATATATTAACAAATCATTTCATCATAATTTCCAGTTAGTTTATTAATCATATAATAATCTAATAAATCATGATTTCTCTATAAATATCATTCTAATTAAGTTCTAGTTACGAGGGCAACCTAAAAAGGATTTTGCTTCTAATTACAAGAATATACCAATTTAGTTACCGACTTAGACACCTTAATCCAACAAAAACCTCATACATACATGCGCAAAACCAATCTACACAATCAATTGAAGTCCTCTCGGATACTTTCAAATACTCGTCGGATGCGTCACAACATATCTCGTATCTCAAATATCTAAGTGCAGCCGCACATTTTTGTATACTACTAAAACTCATTCTTCCTCTAGTATCGGATTTTTTTAAAATAATCATAAAGAATCTCTAAAGCATTACTAATACGTAAAAATACAGTCTTATTAAGACGGAAATGACGTTTTAACGAGTCATCATTATAGAGACAGTTATCGGCAAAGTAATCACATACCAATAAGTCATATACGACTTGACGATCTTGATTGACAACCGCTCTTGAATGCGAAACATCAAAACTTTTTTCATCATGCATGTGTTGCACATCATTGAAGAACGTCGAGATGAACTCTCCATCGTCTTTCAAATCGATCTTCTTAAAGAAATCCATAAACATGTGTTTTAAGAGAGTGTAAAAGAGATGAACGATCTAGGTGTAAAGGTTTATGTAAATTGTTGTGTTTATATAGGTAAAGAATATATATTAAAAAAAAAGTAAAAATTTTGACCGTTGAACGACTACAAAAGGAAGAATGAATCTTGTTGGTCGTCCTAGCTCGTTCTAGCCAACACGAACCACCACTACCATGAGCCACAACGAGACACTGGACTGCTGTGCACAGTCGTGATTCGGGCCAGCTAGACCACAGATGCCTTCGTAGTCGGTATTCCGGAAGGCATTATAAAGTGCTATCTTGCCAAATTAACCACACAAATGAAAGATACCGTTCGTTTCAACCCACTACGCGCCAAAAAAACCGAGGTTCCACACAACGAAAGATACATGGCCATTAACCGCGCTCCTTACCCTCCCTAGTTTGTAGTCTCTACACATTTCTTGACTGAATATGTCGTCGTTGGTATCGATCTCCGGTGGCGGACGACTTCCTATCCTACTTACCACCACACCCACAATAGCCACGACTTCTTTCTGACGCTTTTCAACTTCATTTGCTTCTATGGCATTACCACAATCTCCATCACCTCCCCCGCAACCAAGTCACAGTCAAACATCTCTTCCTCTAAAACGCCTTTTACCATCGATTCATCTTCCAAAGCTTCTGATAAGAACTTGAATTACGCACTCGAAAACCTAACGGAAGTAATCCTGCTTTGTAGTTTGTGAGGTCAACAGAGTCCAACATTGAAAATGTATGTTTTTTTATGCTGACATAACTTTTTATATCAGGGTTTCAGTGAGATTTGGGGAAATATCATGATTTGTGTATGTATTCGTTGGTTATGGTGATATGTATATTCGCTTGTATTATGTACGTGCTCCAGAAGCCCTATTTTATGAGGAACTTCGACATTGTATTGGTAGAGATCTCATAGACATGCGATTGAGACTCTATTAGTTCGATTTTTCAATGATTTTATTCATGCCGATGAAAATCTTCTATTTGGCAGGTGATATTTGACTTCATGTTTTTGGCACTTTTGGCTGTTGCAGGCTCTTTAGCTGGCTCCTTATTATGCTTCCTAAATGTAATCATCCTTAAACTCATCACTTGTGTATATATTTATAGATAAAATTCATTAAATAACCAAAATCTAGGGGGTGTTTTCAACAAATAACCATAAAATTTCGAGTTTCGTAAATGACCATCAGATATCACTTAATGTCTCTGGGGAATTTAGCACACCTCTGCGGAAATGAGGTGGTAGCACAAAAAGACAAATTTTCTTTTTAGGTTTTTAAGGTTCCGCAGAGGTGTCTCTGCGGATCGCTTAACGTCTCCGAGGAATGGGTATGAACAATTTTTTAAGAGAATTTTTTTTGGAATTTTTAAGTATTTACCCATTCCTCAGAGACATTAAGCGATCAGCCGAGGTGTTCACAAGATCCATAGAGACACCTCTGCGGAACCATTAGAACCCCCGGAAAAAAATTCTTTTAGTGGTGTCACGTCATTTCCACAATACTGTGCGTCGTTCCTCAAAGGAGTAAAGGGATCCCAAGGAACCCCTCTGTGGATCTCGTGGTCATTTTCCAAAACTCAAAATTTCATGATTATTTGTTGAAAACACCCCTAACTTTTAATTATTTCATTAATTTTCTCATATTTATATCTGTTTTCCTTGATATGATAGAGTAAATAGTTGATGCTTTGCTGATGTCATTATGTTTCCGTAAGGTTGTGTTTATATTGTTGATGCATATAAAGTCTACTAGACAAGCTATTCGAAAGGAGTTCATACAAGAAAGATGGTGTTGCGATTAGTTGAAGCGATAAGTGAGTTTCTCACATTTTTACTTTACTGTTTTTTTTTTTTTCTTTTAGTAAATTTAATAATATATTGTTATTCCTTTATTTATTTATTTCAAATATGGATGCAGATGTTTATCTAGCTGGCACAGTGATGCTAATATTTTCAATGGGTTTGTATGGATTATTCATTAGTAATGCACCTGGTAGTGTAGCACCACCAGATGATCGTGCTCTCAAGGGCTCCACCTTGTTTGGGATGTTTGCTTTGAGGGTAAGCATTTTGTATATGTATATAGATGGTTAAATGCAAGAAATAACAATATAGTTTCATTTATTTGTTTATTATATCATCTAATAGTAAACAAATGGGAAATCTACTCTGAAGTCTTTATATTTTGACCTCATTTATAAAAAAACTTCTATGCGAAAAACCTTTTGTACCAAATTTATATATATAAAAAAAAAAGAAACATATTTTTCACATATAAAAACCTTTTTCTAACAAAAATGTTTTGTAAAAAAGGTTTTTAAATAGTAAAAAGAAGGTTTTTTTATATGAAAATATGTTTTTTTTGTATAAATATGATTTTATAAAGAAATATAACATATTCAAAACAAAATTTTGAAAAAAATAAAAAATAAAAAATAACTAAATTTAGGATGAGTTTGTAACAAAATTTTGAAATATGGGCCGAAAATGTAAGTTTTTGACCAAATTTGTAGTAAAATTTAAAATCTAGACAAAAAGTGTAAATTTTAAAAATGAGATGACCTAATAACCAGGAAAAATGGTGAAAATCAATACATTTATAGACATTCAGGACTTAATCAGAAAAAAAAAATGACTTAAGTGACTATAAATTCAAAATGTAAGGATTTTATAGTAGATTTTTGTAAACAAATAGATAAAAATACATTGCTATTTATGCATTTAGCCACATATAGATTCATACTGTGATATCAGTCTTAGTCCTATCTGTTATGTTATGGTATGTCATGTCATGTTTAATGTGTCTAATGGAATCTGATTGACTTTTAGGAGCGACCAAAATGGATGAAGATAAGTTCGCTTGATGAATTAAAGACAAAAGTGGGACATGTCATTGTAATGATTCTTCTAGTAAAAATGTTTGAAAGGAGCAAAATGGTAACCATAGCAACTGGTTTAGATCTTTTAAGCAACTCGGTTTGTATATTCCTATCATTAGCTTCTTTGTATATTCTTCACAATCTTCACAAAGATGAACCTATATAATTAACTTTGTACAAATAGAATGACAAATATGTTGGTGGAATCTTCACGTGTATTATCACTTGGAGTTATAATTTATCTAAAAGGAAATTATATATGCATTACTTGTAAATTTTTGTCTTAGTTTTGCTTCTTGTATATTTGGGTCTAATCATGTACACTTGGTTAATGATGTTTTTTTAGAGAAAATAACAAAAATAACCATTTACACTAATTACATTACAAAAATAGCCAAAAAAAAAAAAAAAAACCGAAGTTGCAAAAATAACCATAAATTTCACAGATGGAATAGTCCCATCTGCGATGGGCTTTCCATCTGCGAATGTACAAGCAGCTAAAGCACAAATGTGCTTTAGCTGCTTTTACATTTGCAGGTGGTTGTTTATATATATATATATATATATATATATATATATATATATATATATATATATATATATATATATATATATATATATATATATATATATATATATATACAGGGCCGGTCCAAAGGTATTTGATGCCTTGGGCGAAAGTATTTAAGGATACCCTATGACTTTACTGTAAAACCTCCGTGAAGTCGATATATTTACGTTGTATACTATGAAAATTTTAAATATATATACTATATTAATTAATAATTGGTAAAGTAAATATCTAGAATTTTATTTAAAATACATATGTTAATACAAAAAAATAATAAAATGTAGCGTTTACTAAAATTCTACAAACCACATCTAACACAACAAGCTACATTAAGAAATAATACAATTATATTATATATATACACACATCTAATATTCAACACAACTAATGATTAAAACATACATTTTCTTTTAAAGCCATCTCCTCGCTCACTTGAATCCTCGCTTAATGAATTTCTTGTTGCAACATAATGATGAATTTAAATTGCGAACATTAAGATTCCTCAAACATATGACACTAAAGATTCTAATCCAATTGTAAAGCCAAAAAACATACTCAATTGAGTTGAAATAAAATCCTCCTTAAATTCAAGTTCAAGTCAAATTTGATATCCTCTTTGTTGAATAGAAAATAAAATCAAATTATCCCAAACTCAACTGAAACACCCCCTAATATGAAAAAGGAACATTTTTCTCAAATAAAATAAATAGTCAACTTGCAGGACCAAGAGTCATTTCTATGTATAAACTACATGGACCATTTTTAGTGTTTACTCTTTTTAAAACACTATTGCATTTTCAAAACCAAAACTTCTCACGAAAACAACCATTAAATATTATAACCTCCCAAATATTATAACCTCCCAATGAATGAATAGCTGTAAATTATACCTTTTCAAGTGTTGAATGGTTGGGAATTGTACTTCCCGAATAGCTAAAAATAAGATATCAAATTAAACATTATACCAGAAAAACAAGTACTTAGATTGAATATAAGAACTCCATACTTTCGGCAATCAGAACTACAAAAACCACCTAGTGAAGCAAACTTTGAACTCTAACTTAAGAATTAGGGAAATAGATCACTGATTCTAAAAATGCAACAATGTTTTAAAAAGAGAGATTAGATAACTGAGAAATTAGAAATACGTTTTTGTCTTCTTCATTCAAAAAATCGCATGGACTGATAAGAGAGACTGAGAAATTTGAAATAAGATTAAAGAGCTTTATCTACTTATCTAGGGGTAAACGGTTCTTTGCTTATTGGTTTCTCCAATCTGTGGAAATTTATCGACAGAAGTGTAGACAGTCGACTCTTCATCCTCGTCTTCTACAGGCTACTGCTTGACGTTTCGTTGCCCTAGGTGTCGATTCACGAAAGGAGCAACCACCTCTTCAATCTTTTCGCGTCCACGCTAAGCCATAAATCAAGGTTGTAAACTGTTTTGGGCCTGAATGATATATATATATATATATATATATATATATATATATATATATATATATATATATATATATATATATATATATATATATATATATATACTGCAATTCGATTAAACTTATGCCCCTATTATGTTTGCTGCCCTGGGCCTTTGCCCCACTCGCCCGGGTATTGGGCCGGCACTATATATATATATATATATATATATATATATATATATATATATATATATATATATATATATATTGAAAATGTAGGGTAAAATCGCAGATGGAATAGCCCCATCTGCGATTTACTCTGATTTCATCTGCGAATTTGCAATTATTTTTTAATTTTTTAATTTTTATTTTTTATTTGGTTTGACTACGAACCAAACTGATAATTTTCTACAAAACTTTTTATATAGCAACATTATTTCGTAATCATTACCAATTGATTTCATAGTCAAACTTAAAAAAAATTTAAAAAAAAAAAATTAAATGTAATTAGTGTAAATAGCTATTTTTGTTATTTTATCTGTTTTTTATTTTTTGAGAAAATGACAAATCATATTTGGGAAATGAAAGAAAAAATAAATGAATGACAAATTTATAAAAAGTTGTGTTATGTTGCTCTACGGCCTCTCATTATAGACACTAGATGCGGATTTGAATCACGCCAAATAAAATCAGTTTTGAATCTCGAAGACTTGAGTTCAAATCCCAGTAATGATTTTTTTTTTTATACCAACAAAATGAGAGGATTTATTAAAACGATAAATCCACAAAAATTTAGGATATATGTCGTACTTTAGTTAGTTATTGTTGTGTGTTTTACCTTTAGGTGCTTTTTCTTTGCCAATTATTCTTCTTGTACTCTTTATTAATTGTAGTTTGTCCAACTTCCTAACTCTTATTTTAATTAATAAATATATATATTTCTGTTGTTCCAAACAAAGAAACTTAGGATATTGTTATTTACTTAGAGACACACTCACGTTTAAGCCTTGTTAATAGATATATTTTTTTTCCACTAAAATTTAATGGCTAATAATTTGATAATATTATGAAATATGTTTGGACCGGAATTGGTTTCACTTATAGTCGAGGGTGGTAAATAGTGGTGCACAAAAATGGTCTCGTAGCGATAGACTGTAGTTTACATGACTATGAACGTTATCTAATGTCAAGTGGTATAAGATATATATAGTTGCCATGCCAGAGTGATACATTCTTACAAATGTAACATAAGTTCATGCTGGTTGTAATATTTTTGGGTTATTGTTAAAAAAAATATTATTTTTTTATAGCTTACGGAGAAGTTTTAATTTTTGTTTTTAGAAAAGAATAGTATTGATTATTAAATATTTGCCTAAATTAACATAATAGTCTTTAGCCGATGTGGACTTGGTGAACACCACCAGACCACGAACTCAACATGTCGAGTTCGGTACCCCAACTCGGTGAACAGCTGCAAAGGTCTTCCTTCTTTAACCTCTTCTTCCTCCTTTTTTCTTCCTACCTCGACAGACCATTCATCTTCTCCTTCTCTTCTTCCGGTCTTCTATTTTCCTTGTTGGAGTTGAGGTGGAGCTCGATGACCTGTACACCATACACCATTCCCCTCAGCTTAGTCCGGATATTCCCCAAATTGATTGGCATTGGTAGTCATATGACTTTTGAATTTTGATCAACGCCCGGATATTACATATAAGTATATGTGAAGTTCCAAACCTCTTTGTAGCTTGAAACTAACAATTTTACCGTTTAAGATCATTTTTGGATTTTGTTATTTTAAACAAAATGATCATTTGGACCAATATCTAATAATAATAATAATAATAATAATAATAATAATAATTTAGTTATACATTATTATTATGGACTTGATTCATAGATTTGTCTTGTAGTTGTATCCATGTTACAGGGGACCAATCTATATCTAAAATAGATGGCTAGGGGATAATGTATACACAAAGCGTGGCCCATTCCTTCCGACATCAATTGCTTCCACATCCACTACTTTAAGTTTCAGAATATATTCATGTTTTAAGGTAGCTCCAGCCGATAGTAACGGAAGACGAAACAAAATTAGTCAATATGATGATGCCCAAATAAATAACATGAACCTATTTACCACGTTCAAATGAAATGAAATGACTGATTGTAAATAGATAATTAATTGGCATATAGCATAATAATTGATATATACTTTTAATCCGAATAGAATCACAATTTTACAAAAACCTTTTTTTTTTTATTTTTTATTTTTTTTTTTTTATTTTTTTAAGACGCTTGCTTGATGGTAAGAGTGAAAAAAATAATAATTAAATAATAAGACTAATTAATAAAAATCTAAAATCAGTAATCATATTTGAAATTTATTTTTATTCGGTTACCGACTTACATATTCAAGATTATCAAACAAAATGCTTCTAACAGCTTTTTAAATTAAATATGGTAATTAAATGTATTTGTATATTTTAGACAAACCTACAAAAACCACATAAATGGTTTTTGTGGTATGTATTTTTTTGAGTTTTGATTAAAACTTCAAACTTTTTTGAATTGGTAGTTCTTTTGATTATGTTTGTATGTGGTTTTAGTTCCTTCAAAAATTAAAATTACTATAATACCCTTATATATATATATATATATATATATATATATATATATATATATATATTGTTTTTCTTTAAGTTTTTTAAAATTTAATACTTATTTATCAATTTAATTAATTAAAAAACAATAGAGGATGCTTCTCTCTCTCTCTCTCACACACACACACACAAAAAGAAAAAGTTAAAAAAAAAACCTTAAGCTCCATGCAATCCGTATACTTGCAAAAGGGAAGAAGATTGGGTGATCCATTGTTCAACATCTTCTTTATGAACCACAATCACCTCCTTCAGAAATCACCCATCATCATCCATTTGTACTTTGATTGTTGGTACTCTCTTATTCTCATCTTCTTCTTTTCCATCTTCAACGAGATATATCACCCATTCTCCGGCTGGAAATCACCATCACTCAACTATTGTAAAATTTCAAAGAATTATAGGTGTTCGATATACTTATAATGGTAGGATTAGGATACCTAGACTCATTATTAGGATCCAAAACACTCGAGTCTCTCTCTGTTGAAGTTGTATCCATTTCTAAATCCACATGAGTTAGTATCATTTCCTAAGCTATACAGGCTACCTTGTAACAACAGTAAGATCGTACATCTTAGCATAAAGTCATCTGTTTCATAACTGTTAGTCAGTATGGAACGAGGAACATCATGGATAAATTCACTATCATAGACTTATATGGGTTGACATCCCGACATC